GTGGCCTAAACAATAATAATACAATTTTCAAAACCTTTCATGTATTTAATTCTTCCCAAACGCAGTTATGGCAGCAGCTGTTTGCAAGCATAAACAGTCCCTTCAAGAGAATAGATCCTGGTGGCTTAGATACTAGTGGCTAGTATCTATATTCTTTTATCCTATTGATTGTGTTCTTATACACAAGTTAGCAAAGTGAGAAGAGTAGAACAGTAAATGCAATTGTGTATGATTGGTGTTTTGTGGAAGGTTAATGTGTAGGAAGTATTCAGTCTAAGGTGTCAGAGTATGATGAGAATCAAAAATATTTTTTGTAGTTTTATAACTTTTTCTTGTTATGTTTTGAATGTACAAGGTAAAAGATGTCAGCATAGCCAAAGAGCTCTCTGAGATTTTATCCGGGTTCAGTTAGTATAGAGTGATTTTTTTTTGTTAATTCAAAGAATTTATTCCTCACTTCTTGGTCTAACAAGTCCCTTATTGAAGCATAACAATATATACAAATAAAACATTTGCCGTAAAACAAAACTAAAATGTCTACTCACCTTATATACTTGTGTATATTTTAATCTCATATATTAGTCAAGGGAAGGTTTGAGGGCCAAAATTATCAGTTTTGACATGACCTATAGATGAGTCAGGAGTCCTTTTGTGGAGAGGGAAGAGCACCAGGGCTAACTCAGAGGGTCACCCACCCATGGCTACCATCGCTACCATTTTCATGGTCAGGCTTTCAGAAATATCTTACTTTTGTTGCTTTACTTGTGTCTTTGCTGGTGTTTTTCTCCCAAGACAGACTATATGAAGTGCTGCTGATATCACTGGGTTTTTTTTTTCAAGTAAGCAAACAATTACCTTTCTACATACTGCTGCAGTGGGCACTAAGTATCCACTGGGTTTTCATAGAATTATATAATAATAGAGTTGGAAAGAGACCACACTGGCCATCTAGTCCAACCACTTGCCATGCAGGAAAACCATAATCAAAGCAACCATGACAGATGGCCATCCAGTCTCTGTTTAAAAACTTTCATGGAAGGAGCTTCCACCACACTCCGAGGCAGAGAGTTCCACTGTTGAACAGTTCTCACGAACAGGAAGTTCTTCCTAATGTTCAGGTAGAATCTCCTTTGTTGTCATTTGAACCCATTGCTCTGAGTCCAGGGCTGCAGAAAACAATTCTGTTTCCTCTTCCTTTTAAAATATTTAAAAATGGCGATCATGACTCCTTGATTCCAGGACACATACACATATAATATCAAGTCAGAGGGGTGCAGTGGTTTTTAACTTTGAATATGTTTTAATGGATTTTAACTATGTTTTTTAAAATATTGTTTTAATAGTGTTTATAGTAATAGTATTTATTTATTTATTTACTATATTTATATACTATTCCTCTCAGTCTGCAGGCGACTCGGGGTGGTTTACAATTGGTGCCAAGACCACAAAATACAATTTCAATACAATAAAAACAATCATATAATAAAACCATAACAAAATCAATAAAAACATAAACATTAGAGTCTCCTATTAAAACATTATCCAATCATCATTCAACCATTAAATAATAATAATACATTCACATGATGGATATAAAATTCTGTGGAGAGTCAAATCCCATCATATATAGTGATATGATAAATGGCATCCCTTATATAAAATTTTAAAAAAAACCAAAGTTTGTTTTTTGGAATTGATTTGTTTGGAATATTTTCAAGTATGATAGCTGAATTTGTGTACAGAGAATCGGTATATATGGAAGGCCAACCATATATCATTTAGAATGGCTTTTTGATACCATGCTTAGATTAATTTGCTTAGTTCTTGATAGATAACTGCAGTTATCCTTGCATTGTGTTAGGTTCATGCAATATGCATCTGTTCATTAATTTCAAACTTTTTAAATCACCAGTATCTTTCTTCTCCCAGTCCTGTGATATAAGGGACCCTTGCAACTTTGATCCTTTACTTTGGCCATCAAATATTGAGAAGCGGTTCCATTTTAATAGTTGGCAGGTACAAGTTATCAGTCTAATGTCAACTCCCTTTGCTCAGTTGCTCAGAGTCAACTTGGCTGATCTTCAAATCAAATTGTGTGCTTTTTAGGTTATTTCATTTTCTGCTGTTAAATTATGGATCAGTCTTCCTCCCTTGAGGCTGCACAGATAACTCCCAAAGATTATATTTGACTTAACACACCATCCTGTGAGATTCTAGATTTGGTTTCGCAGGGTTGAAATGCATGTATGCCTGCTATACTATCTCGACAATTCAAATTCACTTAAGGGATATACACAGCATTTGAATAAACAGCTAGTCCAGTAATCCTATACTTGATTTGCATGTGTTTACAACATATGATGAATGCAAGTGGCCATTCCTCTGATTCTTTATCCACAAATGCATGTCTTTATTATTACGGTATTGAATGTTTGCCATTATTTGTTGGAAATTGCCCCGAGCCCCTTGGGAAGGTAGGGTGGGATATAAATAAAGATTATTATTATTATACTGACACAAAAACACAGTATGACACAGCAAATTATATATATATGCTGGATTTCGTCTTACAAAATCACAAGTCGAACACTTCCCAAGCGGTTAGGACTGTGTGATGTTTATTATTATTATTACTACTACTACTACTACTACTACTACTTGGCTAGCTTATTACAGTGCTTGAGAAAGGAAGACTAAATCAGTATATAACTAATGCTACATTTTAATTTAATTTAAGTTGTTTATGATTATAGATTATTACAGTCAGTTCATTTGTAAATGCTAGATCTCTACAAACCATGTTTTTGAAATGAGATGCTGGACTTGTTTCCCTTGGAATTCATACCCTATTCTCTTCTTTTCAAGGTGTTAGCAACTGATGCATGTGGTTGTCAAGTCGCCTTTAAGTTATGATGATCCTGTTCTCTGTGTAAATAGTAGCAAACTGCTGGAAACCCCAAATCAATATTCCTAGTAACTGTAGTTGCAGTTTCTGTCTTATGTGATATTCTGTTTTCATACAACATCGAGAAAGGTGGTGGAGGAGAATTACCTAGGAGGAAAAGCAATGCACACCTCAGAGTTTGGCTCCCACTTGTATTCCTACTCCACTATCAATTATTTCTGTATTGGTTTCCATGAAGAATATAATCAATGCCTTAGAACCTTAATGCTTTCATAACCACTGAGCTTTTTTACTCATGGAGACCTTTCATGAATAAGCTGTCAATTCTAGTACAGCAGATGTGAGTTGGACACATTGTTTATTTGACTGAAAATGGCTTGAATAGAGATTTATATCAATTTTTATCAAACTTGACAAAGTCAGTTTCAATGTACCCAATTTTGATGACATTCCCCTTATTACAGCTAATTTAATCAATTAGCATACAATGAGCTTCTGCTTTCTAATTAACTGAGCGAAAAGCTTACGCTGTCTTCTCTAATCCATTACTTGTTTATATTGGGTTTTTTTTTTCATTTTGTTCAATACATCTGTAGATATTTTCCCTGATGTCTAACCTTACAGTATTTAGAGCTAGTTCAGAAATAATGCTTGGCCTTGCTACCTCTATTTTGAGAACAAATGAACCAAAGATAGGAACTTTCCTTTACCCTCCATAGAATAAATTCCATTTCTTCCACAGTTCTAGTAATGATTGAAAATGGGAGAGGGAATTATCTGACTATCCAGATGTTGGTTCATGGAGGTATAACCTGCCCTAACCAACTAGTGAAGAATTCTGGCAGCTTCAGTCTAGTATTAACTGGAGGGCTACACAATTTGCAATCCTAGTTTAGAGTACATATTTGCAGTAATTAAGGTCCTTTTTAACTTTGTCGAAAATTAGCTGAATCCAAAATTTTAATAAGTATTACACTTGTCCATCCACATTTACAGGTTTGTCTTTTGTAAATTTGGTTATTCACAGATTTGATTAAAATATTCTCTCCAGAAACATCTAAGTCCTCCAGTATCAATTTCCTCTGGCCATGCTCAAGGATCTAGAGCAGTGGTTCTCAACCAGTGAGTCCCCAGATGTTTTGACCTTCAACTCCCAGAAAGTAAACCAGCTGGGATTTCTGGGAGTTGTAGGCCAAAACACCTGGGGACCCACAGGTTGAGAACCATTGATCCAGAGATTCCTAGAGAGCACCTCTTTAATAATCTCTAGTTCTTGCAGTGATTCTGAGGTCAGCTTCCAGCAGAAATCAACCATGGAATCATACTGGAAGACCTAGAAATTGCTAGAGTGGTGTTCTTTCAGGTAAAAAAAAGAAAGCAATGTCTTTATTCACAATTTTTCACTTTCATGGGGGTTTGTGCTCCCCTCCCAGTGAATCTGGAGGGCTGACTTTATTTTGTCGTCTATGATATTTTCATGAAAGATTGAAGAATTTCCTCCCACCAAAAACATACGTCTTACCAATAAATCAGTCACCACATCATTTATATTCTGCTTTTATAGCTTGAATAAGTTTTTTTCTTTATTAATCTTCCAAGGGTTGATTAGCTGTTCTGGTGCCAAGATGTTTCTGTTGTTAGCAGTAACCGTTGTGTGAATAAACACTTTTATTATTGTCACTGTCACAGCTTCTATTTCCTGCATTTCATTTTCCACATATATGTAGAATTGAAGCTCGGGATAATGCTTCATGTATCTCAGGATACATAAGGGAATCTTATTTTGTACAAGCCGCCATCAAAACATATTAGTTAGATTTTAAAGGTGGCACAAGATTTGTTGCTTATTGTTTGTCATTTATGAACATATCAGTACCATAACAGATTCATACCAGGAGAGTTCTTTCTAGGAGAATGTACAATTTATTCAATGAAAAACTCTTAATTATTTTGCTGAAAAGCAACTTACTGAATAAGTTGTGTGAACTGGTTTCATCTTGCCATGTTTCGATGTGTTCAGCATTTGACACATGTTGTGTTTCTCTTTTTTAAAAGAAAACTAATGTTGTCTGATCTGTTTCCTGCTTTGATATAGACCACAGGCTCTCAAGAAGAACATGAAGTTGTCCTGGTTAGAACTGATAAAACTGGAGGAGCTTGGCCTGTTAATGCTCCACATGAATCGTTCGAGTCTACAGGTAGAAGAAGGAAAAAGCAGGTAATCCATTCAGTATTTTATTAAAATGTCTCCTCTTCTTAGAATATATTAATAAATGTATTCCATGTGGGGTAGGATTTGAGTTAGATTGACATTGGACCTTAAACACAAACAATAAAGTGATTGCAGTATTTTAGAGTGCCATGAAATACAAGGAAGGTGACACTTCTCTTCCCCTATCCACCCCAGTTCTTCTTTCATGTCCATTAGATATAGAGTCTCGCTTATCCAACCTTCCCTTATCCGAGATTCCGTCTTATCTGACACCCCCCTTTTCCTCCAGCATTTCCCCTTCAATTAAAGGAGCACTCCCCAACTCTCTCTCCGTTCCCAATAAGTGAAAAAGGCAAGACGACGAGGAGGAGGGAGGAAAGGGGAAAAAGAGGCAGAACTAGAAGTGAAAGTGCCCTCCTTCTTTCCCTCTGTGATTTCCACGCTCCTCTTCTTGCATATGGACACTTACTGCTAGGCCACTCTAGCCCCGAGGTGTTGTCTTGCCTTAACCCTTTGAGTCCCTGTTATTAGTTTACTAGATGTCTAGTGCCGCGTTGGGCGGGTTATTTATTTGTCGTGTCAGAGCAACCAGTCCATTGGACTGGTTGGGCGGGTAACAGTAGGAGACTTCGTTTATCTGACGTTGTGCCAGCCCGTTTATGTTGGATAAGCAAAACACTACGGTAGTATGGGATTTAACTTTTGTTTATGCTCTATGGGGAATTACAAGAATTCTTTGTTTTTAAAATGCTCACCAGTCTATTGCAATCAGATTTATTATCTATTATAGTAATTTCAAACAACCTTGCATAAAAGTTCATTTTTAATGGTTCTGATGAGAAATTCTTATATCAGTTTGCAGTTATTTTGTTGAAGTAGAGACATTTTGTACAATTCAAATGCTTAGTCCAATGAATTTTTTAATAATATGCATTTTGAAATAGCTAGTAAATTGTACTGAGTGGATCTTCATTTCTTCTTATTCATTTTCAGATCACGACTCATGTCGACAAGGAAAGGGTTCGGTATTTTCAAGATGATGATAATCTGAGCCTGAAGGATTTGGTCAAAAATGAAAAGATGAGAACAGCAGAGGATCAAAATAGGCTTTTCATGAGAATGGCTTCAAAGGTAAGGCTGATATATTGGAATTTATATTAAACCTGAAAGAACATTTCCAATACTTTGTAAAGAAATAATTTTCAATTTCCTGACTTTTATGAAAAAATGCATTTAAAAGGTCTGAATGCAACTGTTAATACAAATAGAAGCAATGGCAATATTGGCTTAGCATGTTACCACTGATCTTTGTGGCTTTAATGGAATATGGTATAATTGAAGAAATTCAGGTCAGCATCATTCATTCATATTTAACCAATATGTCAAGACATTTCATTTGTATGGATGGGAATCCTATGGTATTCATAATTATAACACATTATAGTAACATCTAACAATGATCTTTAATAACTCGATGTGTGCTAGAAGGACATCCTACTCTCTTTAAGTAGTGTACATTTAGGTGTATAGGGTTATAGCCTTAGTTTTGTCTGTAGCGATAATTTTCATGAAACTTGGTGTTCCATGAACCCTGTTGCTAAACATGTGTCGAGTCTTAAAAACTCTAGTGGAAGCCTGCTTTTTCTTCTAAAAATCTAGGGAGATGGTATACCTTAGTGGCTCTCATTATTTAAAAGCCTCCAGCAGAATAATATGCTGTGTTACAACAGCGAGAAACTGTGATTGTCAAACAGAAACAAAATGGCAGTTGAGACTGAGGTTCTGTAATGCACAAGGGGGCACTTCTGGTGATTCATATGTTGTTGACCCACAATTGCCACTTAGATACATAGAAGTCTGGGCAAGATAAGAAAAACCTAAACTTTAAGCTGGATGTAGACAAAACTGAGTTTTTGACATCCACTTAGTTTCCAAAAACATTGATATATATTAATCAGAAACAACTGCAAAATTGCGAAGACTCCCCCCCCCCAAAATACCATACGTTCTGTTTCAAATGTTAACCTAAAGATAAGGTTTTCCAACAATAATAACAACAACAATCAATTTTATCAGTAAAGTTGTGTGTGACAACCAATTAATACTTAGATTTTAAAGGTGAATATCGCATTAGCAGTTAGTCTAAGAGCCATGACCTTTATCTTTTAACTGTCACTTTCTGGAGTATGGTTGGACATCAGTAGCTGTTGTAACTCCACTGCAAATCACCTTGAGATTACCAGTAGATCCTTACCTATCTTGTCTTAAGTCAGTGTGAAATAGCATCATAGGGTATTAGCTTATTTAGAGAAATAGGGAGAAAACAGTGTATATTTCAGGATTTGGAAACAGATAAAGGGCTCTCCTCTTGGTTTTCTTGTGTGCACTGCCAGGAAAAAGCCTTGAAATGTTTTCCTCTAAAGCCCCTCAAAATACTTTAGTTTTATCTTTACATAGCCTAGAGACAGAAGTGACTGGACCAGGATCCTGTAGTAAGCATCTCCACTGGATAAGAATACAAAATCTGTGGTGTCCTGGATTTTCAATATGTGTGCAATTGTAATATATTTTTATAATACTGCTTCTTGAAATATTAATGCATGAACTCTGAAATCAATCTTTAAATGGAAAGGTGCTGATTTCATTCCCTCTCCTATTTAGGTCCAGCTTCTGAAACTGTTTTGTAATTTTTATTAATGAAGTGCAGAGAATTGACATCCAAATAATGACTTTCTCTCCCATGCTTTCATTTGGAGGAGAAATGAAAAATATATCAGTTGAAATGAATGTCATCTTTAAATTGCTGAAGTCTAAAAATGATATTCTTCCTAGAATATGAGAAAAGTGGCCCTTCAGCTTTGTGCAGGACTTTCATTAATCTTTTCAACTGAATTTCTGGCTTTGGTGTGTCTGTATCATAAGTAGAAAAGTTAATGGAAAAGTGTAACTATTTTACATTTACATTAGGCTTAAAAACTTTTGCTAATTATATGTACTTTGGAAAGGGGATGTTTATTGTGTCTGTTCTAAGTTGGCATTTAAATTTACATTAAATTATTATCTAAGAACTGGAATGAAGGTGAAAAATCCAATCTGTTCTACATTTCTCCTATTCTTCCCTTGTGTTTGGGAGAGATTGGAACGCTGCATAAATTTTTATTTTTAACCCACCCATTTTCTGCAGGGAGTAAGCGAGCTTATAAAGAAATAGCCTGCCAGGGGAAAGTTTGTATTCTCTCAAATAAGTGCAGATTTGCTTTTGTAGGACTTCACACATCTTGTTTAACAACAGTAGACATAACATGGTTCAGGCTTATTTCTCAGTTACTTTATCTTGCCCTGAATGTGTGGGGTGGGCAGCAGATATCCCATTTGCAGTCCATCACCCTACTGCACTATATCTAAGGACAGGGTTAATGGCTTCTTGGCCTCTTTATACACTTGTATAGAGATTGCTCAGGTTTTGAAATCTTGCTCAAGGAGTCGTCACTTTTAACGCTATCCACATTTTTGGGTCCAGCTTCAATCTTAATTTGTTTGGAATTTGAAGTAGTTGTGAATGTCCTTTATGGTAAGCAAAAATTGGTTCTCGAAATATTAAAATTGGTTTTGTTTGGAACACAAGTTTTGATTTTATATTGTTTCATTTTGTTTTATACTGTTTTATTGTTATACTGCTGTTAAATTGTATATTTATGTTTCTGGTATGGGCACCATGGGGTGCTGATTTGTTAGCAGTCCCTCTGTGGAGGTTGAGATAGGATGGGATATAAAAGCCCCAAATAAATAAATAATCAAACAAACAAATTTGCTGTTTTTCCCATCAAAGAACCAATCTGTTTCCTAAAAGGCACGAGACTAGAAATTTTTGCTGCTATATAGAAATCAGCACATGTATATCTTGCATTTCCACAGGCTTGTGGATGTGGCCTGTGTACTCTGGTATTGTAGCAAACAGGAGCATTTCATTACTTCAGTTCTTCTCTGGTCTTTTATTTATTTTCCCCTTTTGGCTGAACTAGAAAAGTTGATAATGAAAACATACTCTAGTTTATTCTCTGTGTATTCAGCAAGGAAATCAGTTCGATTTCATTTGTTTGTAAACCTGTCCAAACAGATGATTTTCAGTCTTCATTACGCTCTGTGAAATAACTTGTGTAGGTTGAAGACACCTTGGAATGAAGCAATCTTGAAGGTAAAAGTTGGAATGAAAAGGAAAAATAAGAAAAGCAAATGTGAGGTGCTCATTTCTTTTTTTTAAAAAAACTTGCTTTTGACACATTTGGAAAAATCCGGTACTATGGGAAAGAAGAACCAAACAAGAGAAAGTTTCATAAGTTGAGAATCGCTAACTGATAAAGTTCATGCTTTCACTCTCATCCATATCAATCTTTGCTTTGCTAGGAATGTATTGTATTGACAGTAGATGTTGCCCAGAGGAGCAGTAGGTAGAAAGCCAGTCATGATCTACTAGATCACTGGGTGGTATACAGTAGAACAGCAATAAGTTTCCTGGTTGTCTAATAGTAATTAAAAATCTCTAATGCAACACAAAGTCATTTGGCTACAAAATGGGATGTTATGGTGTTATTTTGTAAAATTGCAAGGCTTTTAAAAAACCAACAAAACACCCACATTTCTCAATTTAGATGTAAATTTGTTCTTCCTTATGTAGGTTGTAATGAAAACTACCTTTCAGTCGACTAGGCCGAAGCCTACATGACAGTGACTGTCATCTTGGATGGCAGGCAGGACAGGAGAAAGAGTCAAGCTGACTCCTGATTGGGTAAAGCAATTGGGGGAGGAGTCGGTTTAGAGAGGGAAAATAAGCTGCCAGATTTTGACAGAGGGGAGAAGGGTCTTGACTTGAGACAGAGAAGGTTGTGATTTTTAGATAGGAAGTTACAGCATGAGTCTGACAGAAAGGGAAGAGCTTTTAGTGAGCCTTAGGTTTAGGGAAATAGGCTGAGACAATAGGCTAGTATTTTACTGTGTTGTGAGAGCCAGTAAAAGAAAAATTTGTCTCCAGAGCTTACTACCCTGTGGTGGAGACAGATAGGGATCTGTTCTCCAGGGATACTGTGTCTAAAGTTAGAACAGTATGTTTAAGGAGTCTCACGGTTGTTAAAAGCTTTTCTGTCAGGGGAACTATTTGTTTAAGTAACCAAGTTTCTGCAACTGAATCACGCTTCTGTACCACTCATTTCTATGAGTTGTTGTTAATATAAAGTTCAATAAACTCTTTCTAGTTAACTTTTAACTGGTGTATGCCTCAATCTATCCATTTCCTCAGAACTCATTCTGTCAAACCATTTTAAAGTCCAGTCAGCCAGTGAGGAAGCCATAGAAGACCAAGAGCTCAAACACCCCTTACCTAAAACACATTCACACCTTTGGTTCCTCAGGCCAATAATTCTGAGGTGGTGGCGGCTAATACTACCAAGAACATTCGGTCACTTGTATATATAACATAGGGTCAGCCTTTAATTTCGCTATATTGGTGGCAGCGGTGTGATTGTTTGTCCACCCTGCCTCAGATATTCTTTTAATTTTGCTATATAGGTCTTTCCATATGTGTGACACAAAAGACACAATAGAACTCACCAATATATAGATAAGTAATTTCTAGCCCTAATTGAGTGCCTTTTCTAGATGTCAGTAATGGCTATTTACATTGTTTTTATTACTTGTTTATTGGAGACATAGAATTTAATTCATTGTGTAGGCTAAAGCTATGCTGAAATCAGTTAGACCTGGCATAAATTTTTATTTATTTATTTATTTAATGCATTTGTTGACCGCCGCTCTCAGCCCTAGGGCGACTCGCGGCGGTGTACAACATATAAAAACAGTTTACAAAAAACACAGAGTATATCAACAAACCATATAACACGCTTAATCTAAATTACACTAAACTAATCCGCACCGTCACCACATAGGGATCTACCAGTCTCATAATCCGTATTTCGTTCCGATTGTCATTGTCATTGTCATTTAGTCTGGGACTAGTTAAATGCCTTCTCGAAGAGCCAGGTCTTTAGGCTCTTACGGAAAGCCATGAGAGAGGGTGCCTGTCTGATGTCAGCAGGGAGGGCGTTCCACAGCCGGGGGGCCACCACTGAGAAGGCCCT